GACAACAGTACTACCTGGAGGAGTTCTACTTAGGAACAACATTTCTAATTTTTATCTATTCCAGAATTAAAAAACAAAATAAAACTGCATCCACACCCAAACACGTCTTTTACTATTATTTTCATAAAAAATATCTGATGATGTTGAAAAAAAGAAGTAAAAGAACAGATGTTTAGAGTGCCTTGGATTAAATCTAGGACATTAACCTGGTGAGACTCTTCTCTGAGTGAACAATAATTGCTCATAGCTATGAAACCTCTCTGCATGGCTTTCCAAATATTGCCATCTGGTGGACATTCAGTTAAATGTCCCTTTGTTCTAGCAAATTCCTAGAAGTAATCTGGAAGGCATTGTTATTATTGCTGTTAAGTGCTGTTGAGCTGGTTCTGACCCATAGCGACCCTGTATAGGGTTTCCGAGGAATGACTAGTGAGTTTGAACTGCTGACCTTGCTGTTCAAATTGACTTTTCAGTCCAATGCATTAGCCTCCAGCACCACACCAGGACTCCATGGAAGGCATTATTAGAGAGAAATATTCAGAGAACCAGCAGGAAATAACTACAGGTCAAATATTATATTTCAAAGACCAAACCCGACCTGAAAAATGAGGTTTTCTGGGTCTTCGTCTCCTCACAGGAAACACTTTTTTTTTTGGTCTTTCTATTTTAAGGTTAGAATCCTGGTGTAGCACTGTAGCATGAGCACTGGGCCGCTAACCCACCAGTCGCTCCTTGGAAACTCTATACAGGGTCGCAATGAGTCGGAACTGACTGGACAACACTTAACAACAACAATTGTAAGCTCAACAGAGCCACTGCCTTGCTTTTTAACAATAGCAACAATTTTTAAAAAGTCAATTACTTACAAATCATGAGAAATGTCATGAGGTCATTTTGACCATATATTGGCATTCTCCTTTGTCACCTATCACCAATCAAATCTCCAAAATTAAACTTTCATCTGCTTGACACAAGTTTTAGAAGAATTTCTGATAGAAGACAATTAGCCTTTAGCACTCTTGGAAAATGGAATATACTTTGAAGAAGGATGTTTTCAAGGAATATGTTTACTTGAAGATTTTTATTGCTATCATAAAAACATTTGAAAATAAATTTGTTATAAGGCAATTACACTTCAATTAATCCAAAAACAAGGATTCATATAACAGAATACACATTTATATAACATACAATTATACTTTACCTTAAGCATCCAGGCTCTCTCCCTGGCTGTCCAGATGAATTGTTCCTCTGGGAAGTGGGATACTGAAATCATAACAATGGAAAAAAAAACATAGAATAAGAGTGTTAAGTACGATGAAAACAAAGGCACCAATATTTATAGTTCATTGGAAGTGGCCAGCAGGGGAAAAGGAACAAAAACATCCTCCAAATGTCTAAATTCAGTTGACTTTACTATTGGGAGAGTGTAAGACAACAATTGAATAGGATTCTCAATCTATATTATGAAATGAATTCTTGGGTTGATTTACTAAAGTTATTGACGATTTAGTATGATGCCAGTGCTGTGTAAAGATCTTTTTTTCCCCTCCTTTTTCCTGAAAGCCTGACGTGATAAGAGTGTGTATTAGCGGATAAATAGTGCCTTTTTGTTATTAAGTGCCATAGAGTCAGGTTCTGATCCATAACGACCCTGTATAGGGTTTCCAAGGAGCTACTGGTGAACTTGAACCACCTTACAGTTCAAAGCGACCTTGCAGTCCAGAGCATTAATCCTCAGTGCTATACCAGGACTCCAATAGTGCCTCTGTTGTTGTTGTGAAGTGCCGTCAAGTCAGTTCCAAGCCATAGCGACCCTATATAGGGTTTCCGAGGAGCAGCTGATGAGCTTTGAAGCACCAACCTTGCAGTTCAAACGGCTTTGCAGTCTGGCGCATTAACCCACAGTGCCACACCTGGACTCCAGGGACTCTAGTCACTATCAAATGCCAACATCAACTGAAACATGGACTCCCCCAAATTTAGGTTCATCTGCAGGTTATATATCAGTATCAACCCAGACGTATTTTTCTAGTCAGATGATGTTTGTGTCATTTTAACAGGATTGTTGTTGTTGTTGTTAAGTGCCGTCGAGTCGGTTCCGACCCATAGCGACCCTGTACAAATAGGGATTAAAAATAATTCCCGAATCGAACTTCGAAATGTATGCACCAGAAGCAATTATTTATTTTACTCATATGGAGTAATGTTGTTTCTTCAAAACCTCTCCTGGCTAGTGATGAAGACGTTAAACTGACAAGGGATAGATGTGACTCTAGACTCTGAGCAATGCATCTGAGCTCTAGGCCTTGAGGACCCAGTGCTGAGGGGTGGGGAGTTACTGGGGAGGCTGCCTGGGGCTCAACCAGATGTGGCTAAAAAGAACCTGACACACATATACCCCAATGGTCTTCCCCATCACCCCAAGAAACACTGCTGTGTAAATGAGCCAAAAATGACCCCCAAGTTGTTTACTTCTTCATAGTAAGCTGAGGCCCATTAGTTAAAAAAAAACAAAACCTGTTGGTACCAATCCCAAATTTGTACACATCCAGTTGTTTAAAAAATAGCCCAAGTAAGCAGATTGTTAGCCACTTAGAGCATATCTGTTTACAGACTCAGCAAAAGGGTACCCAACACGTGCCAGTCCTAGGTAAGATAACATGCTATAGTTAGTTATAGGACTTTAGGGTGCTGCTCTCCTTCAGAGCGCTCAAAGCCAGTGACTCTTCACTTTGCTTCTGAAGGACATCATTTAAGGACACACAACTTTCTCCACTCGGCCTGCTCCTCTTGCCCTCTGGTGGCTCCCGGCTCTACTTGCCTCTGGAAGAACCCTTGATGTAGGGGACCCCCTACATACATGCTGCTGCTGTCAAAGCCTCAACCCCAACAAACAGCTGTTGTGCACCGTGTTACTCAAGGTCATATCTTTTCCTTGATGAGTCCTGAGTTCCCTTGAACTCACTTCTCATATTCCAATTTCCATATATAGCGCTCACCCGGCATAGGAGTCCTAGTGTGGTGCTGTGGGTTAATGCACTGGACTGCAAAGTTGGTTTGAACTGCAAGGTCAGCGGTTCAAGCTCACCAGCCACTCCTAGGAAACCCTACACAATGCTGCTGCTATGGGTTGGAACTGACTCGAAGGCACTTAACAACAACAACTAGTAACCTGGAATGTTGCCCTTTTGTAACTGTTTCCTGTATATGGTCATTTCAGAAAGGCCTTTGGTACTTATTGAGTCTAAATGTATAAAAATAAATATTTCAGCAGATCTACCACTTGTGATTAATTTCAGATTTAGTTCTAGAGTTAACCCTGGGAGAAGAATTTTTCTAAAAGGGATAGGAACATTTTTCACTTGTACAAGGAAAAGAAGAGTCCTGGTGTGGTGCTGTAGTATAGCACTGGACTTCTAACTGCAAGGTTGGCAGTTTAAATGTACCAGCTGCTCCTGAGAAACCCTGTACTAGGTCACTAGGAGTCAGGATGGACTCGATAGCATTTAACAACATTAAAAAGGAAATGAGGAGATGATAAAAGAAAAACATGCAAAGAACAAAATGGTAAGTGCTGTTAAGTTGTTGTTGCTAAGTATCGTGGAGTCAGTTCCGACTCATAGTGACCCTATACAGGGTTTCCAAGGCTGTAAATCTCCCGCGGAATGGCTGGAAGTTTCGAACTGCCGACCCTGAAGTTAGTAGCCCAATTCGTGTCATCAATTCAGTTCCAACTCATAGCGACCTTATATAGGGTTTCCAAGAAGCATCTAGCTGGTGTGTTTGAACTACTGACCTTGTGGTTCACAGTCCAAAGCTCATTCTACAGCACCTTGGCAAGTAGAAAAATAAAAATGATGACCCCCCCCAAAAAAAAATAACCAGTAAAATAAAAATGACAGTTGAATTTTTAAAAAAGTTTTTATTGTAAATTGAGTAATAGTTTATATGGAGGAACATCAGTTTTACTTTCATCCTATTGTATGTAATTTCATTGCAATGATTACAATCCCCTCTGTGCATCATCATTCAATAGTATTTTCTTCTATTCCCTAGGTATTATATTTTTGTGGATGTACACAAAAGCATTCAGGCATATATAATCATTTAAACAACAGTTGAAATTTTAATGTTATGTTCAACAAAGGAACTCAAAAATAATTCACAGACCTTCACTTGCTGAAAGATAAAATAATTTAACAATGAACAGTTTCAAGAACTGAACTCAGGTACTCCAAAAAACCAAATCCACTGCTTGGATCCACAATCAACATTCAAGCAACCAAATGATGCATTGCATTAGGCAAATCTGCTGCACAAGACCTCTTGTGTCAGTTTTAGGACTAAGGTGTTCTTTCAATAGGCAAATCTATTGCAGAAGACCTCTTTAAAGCGTTCAAGAACAAAGATGGCAATTTGAGGATTTAGGTGCACCTGACCCAAGCCATGGTATTTTCAAAAGCCTATTATGCAAATGAAAATTGGACAATGAATAAGGAAGCACATATTATAACAGATGCATTTAAATTAAGGTGTTGGAGAAGAATATTAAAAGTACCATGGACTTCCAGAAGAACAAATGAATCTGTGCTTGAAGAAGTACAATCAGAAAGCTCTTTAGAAGCCATGATAATGAGACTTCATCTCTCACACTTCGTACATGTTATCAGGAGGGACTAGTCTGTGGAGAAGGACATCATGCTTGATGAAGTGGAGGGTCAGTGAAAAAGAGGAAGACCCCAAACAAGATGGATTGGCATAGTGGCAGCAGCAATGGGCTCAAACATAACAATTGTGAGGATGGGGCAGGATTGGGCAGTGTTTCATTCTGTGTGCAGGGGTCACTATGAATTGGAACTGATTGGACAGCACCAAACAGCAACAACAGCTGCTGTGAAGTCTATTCCAACTCATGGTGACCCTACAGAAAAGAGCAGAAGTGCATCATCGTGTTTCCATGGCTGTAAATTTGGATGGAAGCAGACCGCCATATCTTTCTCCCAAAGACAGCCAGTGGGTTGGAACCACTGAAGCACTAATAAACAGCTAGGCGCTTCAACCACTGTACCACCAAGCCTCCGGGAAGTCAGGTACACTGAATACAATTTTCATTTTTCATTCCTGTCAAATAGGTACAATTTAGTCACCGATTTTGTGGAAGAATTTATTTATATAGGTATTTTACATTTTTGAATCGTTTAATGATAGTTACTAAATCTAAAAATCATATTTAAAAAAATCTGTACTTTTTCATGCCAGTGTTTTAAAAACTGGACAAATCTGATGCAAAGGACTTCTTTAAAGTGTTAAAAAAGCCAAGCTGTCAGTCAGTTTGAGGACTAAGGTGTGCCTGACCCAAACCATGGTATTTTCAATAAACTCATATGCATGCGAAAGCTGGATGACAAATAAGGAAAACTGAAGAGTGATGCCTTTGAATTATTATGGCGTTGGTGAGGAAGATTAAATATACCATAGACTGCCAGAAGAATGAACAAATCTGTACTGGAAGAAATACAGCCAGAATGCTCCTCCGCATGAGGATGGCCAGACTTCTCATGTCCTTCGGATTTGTTATTAGGATGGACCAGTCCCTGCAGAAGGACGTCATACTTGGTAAAGTGGAGGATCAGTGAAAAAGAGGAAGACACCCAAGAAAATGAACTAACAGAGAGGCTGCAACAATGGGTTCAAACATAACAATTGTGAGGATGGGGCAGGACTGGGCAGTGTTTTGTTCTGTTGTGTGTAGGGTCACTATGAGTCAGAACAGACTTGACAGCACTTAACAACAACAGCTCCCTGGCCCTGGCCCCAAATCTTCTAGAAACCTTAATGGAGTCAAAATGAAATTGTCATTTGCCTTCTTTATTTAACTACTACTCAGTAGGTATGTTTATTATGCAAATTATTGGCACCAAGCTAGGAAGCAGGGCATAAAGTTCCTAGTTTATCTATACACTGAATAATCAGCTCTTAGAAAATGCAGGACTGGCTGTGTACAAATGTCCTTTTTTCTTCTATGACAACAGCCTGTTGCTGATTTCGCAGCAGCTGTAAAGGAACACTTTGAAGAATGAGATCATTTATTGGACATCCTCTGTGCTTGTCATTTCATACATTTAATTTAATTTAATCCTCAAAATAATCTTTTCACAAATGAAGAAACCAATGTTCAGAGTGGGGGAAAATTTGCCCATGATCAGTTGGAAAGGGACAGATTTTAATAGAATCTGACAGACTCTAATATCTACCCT